GATGTCTTCTAATCCCTCACTCTGATCTCTAATTTTCTCCAGCTGTAAGATAGTCAGATAAAGTTAAGATGCCTTTTTCCTCCCATCTTCGACTCTCATCCCTCCTATTTGTCTTCCTCCTCCTCCCTCCTCTCCTCCTCCCCCTCCTCCTCCTCCTCCTCCTCCTCCTCCTCCCACGGGTTGGAACAGGCAAAAAGAGTACACAAGGACACATCTGAGCCGCATGCTGTTCTTGTTTGCCTTTCCCGGACTGCCCTGCTGCTCGCCCTGGTGCTAGCTAGTGGGAGTTGGCAATTCCCCTCATCTTTTTATCTTCAGTGTCAGATCCTAACCATCCTACACGGTCACAGTCATATACGCTAAGACATGGCTCCTGTATCTTGCCTGTAGCCTGTATCTTTACATTTTTCTGCTGTTTCTTGTTTAGCAAGGAAGCAAAAACACACCAGGGAGAACAACAACAGGTCTGAATAAAAAGAGAACAGACGCAATAAACTGAATAATGTTCGGAAGAGATTATCCTATGAAGAACAATAACAATGCAGAGCATCATGTGAGGCAGAAATTAACATTAAATTGCATTCAGGTACACTATAAGCTAAAGAAACAGGCTGGTTTGTGATTGAGGTGAGAGTTTTCTTGTTTGTAATATGATCATTTAAGGGCTATACTTCTGTTGCTAAAATGTCCTTCATTCTTCTGGATGAATGATTATAAAAAACCTTTTTTTGTGGCAGATTTTAATTGTAGAACCTCGACAGAAGACAAAGTTCTTTACTGCATATACCATAATAAAACATAAAATCCCATTAAATAGCCAACTTTACGTTCAGTAACCTGTGTTTTAAACTCAACTCATCATGCAAAACAAAAACTTCAATTTTTTTATTTCAACTACAACCTGCTTGTTGCTGCAGAGCGGTAACATGATGTGATTATATCTTCATGATACAGCTCCACTGAAAGTCAATAAATCATAATGTTGAAGTATCACCCAGTTATACAATACATGCACCTGATGAGGAACTTGTTTTGGACAAAAAAGAGCAAAGTTACAGGGTCTCAACCAGGGAACATGATGTACTTTTCTCTGTTGCAGCTCCAGTTTGCGATGTAATCCAATATAATGGGTGTATAATAACCCTACTTTACTTTAGCTAACTCTTATCTGTAGCCGTTTTTTCCATCTTTATTGTTATTGTTGATCTTTTGCCAGCAGTACTGTCTAAAAGGTCGCGACATACGTACAACAAAGACAGAAAAAGAAAATTAGCTGGCTGGCTAACAGTGGCACAACAGAAATTTTGATTATTGTTTTATTAACATTGTGAACTTAAATATTACAGAAAGGATAAAAAAGTACAGTAACAGAGAGACTCAAAAGGATGTTGTACAGCCTGTGAAGCTCTCTGAGACAATCTTGTGATTTTTGTACTGAATTAATAAATTTCACTTGACACCTTTGACACATCAAACCACTGTATGAATACCAGACTTAGATGAGGTCTCCATTAAACAAACCACATCTGAATATGAAGCTGTCAGAACCATGAGACACTTCCATGCAGCAGAGCACATCACAGCTTGGTGGGTGTTGCAACAGCGCCCCCCCTCTGCTCTTTGTAGGTACTCCACTGCATGAATAGCTGCAACAATGCTGCCCCCTTGTGCAGCTTGAACGAGCCCTGCGCTGAAATGGCATCAACAACAACACTGTCAATTTCATTCATGTTTGGAATGGAGTTGGATCACAGAAAGGAAGAAAATGACACATTTAAAAGTTTGCTGAATATTTTAAAACTTTAATATACAGTGCTTCATGAATCATTACTAAAAACACAGGTGGTAAAAATCAAATCGAAACAAATAAGTTACACTGTAGTAAAAAGCACTTGAGATTCCTTTCTGTTTTCATTAGTGTGAATCCCATATGAAAATAGCATAAAAAGTATGCAAACATAGAATTTCATTCATATATATTTTCTAATCTTTAGCTAAATAAACCTTTTTACCCCCAAAATTCCTTTAACCAACTGGATGAAATGAGGAAAGTTTACAGCTGTGTGTGAGTCGTGGCCTCGGTGTCAACCATAATTCTGCTTTTTAAAACAGCTTGAAAACCCTTTTTCATGACAACTTCCCCTCAAGAGAACCTCAAGAAAAGCCCAAATAAAAAGGAAATATAAATTAACATACCAAACATGTGAACAGTCTGCAAATCTTGTTTTTTTTTTTGTTTTTTTTCCATTGACTGGCATACAGTTAAACATTAGATCTCAAAGCACTCATCCACACACACACTTTAAACAGTATGTCCACTCACCAAAACACACACACTTACACATACACACAGTCTGTGCATAGACCCAGGTTTAACTTGTGGAGTAACTGGTAATTGGAGCTGTTTCTCCCCCAACTCCCCACTGTGGTTTGTCCTTTAAAGGAAAATAACCCTTTAACCCATTTGTTGCTACGGCAACAGAAGCTGGCTCTGGGCCGAAGGGCTTAACATAGAGATATGTAGAGAGAGATAGATCAAAACATGCTGTTTCCATAGTCCAATTCAGTGCCTGCTATCAGCAACAAGGTAAACAGAACAAAAGGCAACCATAGATACACATTGTACGGTTAGACTGATGATAATATGGAGCTGATATTGGCCTTTAATAACAGCCGAGAACTTTTGATACTATGAATTCTTTCCAAACCACCACCATACTTTGGCAGACAAATCAAATTTAACATTTCAATGTTACTAATTGCACATTTTCTCATTCAATTATTCTATAGTTTCCCTTACTCATACATGAGCTGTGTCAGGCAGCCCTTCAGTAACTGGTGACCCACAAAGTCAAGGTTTCAACGGAGTGTGTCAGTGTCACAACGACCTAAAGGCAGTTTCAGACACTCTTGCATGCCGGCAAAAGAGAAAATCAATATCATTCATCTCTCTGGCTTAAAGGATCTCAATTTAAGAGACACCAAGCAAATTAATCTGATAATGGAAGAATCTGTATAAAAAAAATAAATAAAAAAAATAAAAAAAAGCTGAGTAAGTATGGTTTGCAGAAAAGAATGATCCTGCCTCTTAACGTCTGTTTGTTAATGACAGTAAATAATAACTGACAAAGATTTACACTTTGTGGCAAGTATACAAAGTAAACTCAACTGATCACATTTTATATGTTGATATCTGATTCTAAAAGCAAAGAAAAAATTTAAGTCTCATGTCCCATTCAGAATCCCATAGAAAAACCAGTCAAATCTGGGTTATGTATGGTTTACAGTAAAGTTTCTCTTAGTGCCTGTTTGTAACGGTAATTTTTTTTTTTATTTGTATTTTTATTTTTTTTACAATTAATAACAGTCTGTGGTTAAAGTGTAAATCTCGGACTGAAAGGACCAAATGTAAGTTCAAAACCTCCTGTAAAAACTTTGAATTCCCTGTTAAAAACAGGGAAATTTGAGTTAAGTGTGGTTTGCAGTAAAGAATGCTTCTTCCTCTCTCAATCCCTGTTTGTTGATGATCAATAATTTACAGTCTGAGGTAAATCTGAAATAGTAAACAAAGAAAATACCAGTCTAAGAGGAGTAAATGGGAAATGGGAATGTAAGTTCAAAACCTCCTGTAAAAACTAGAAAAATTTGAGTTGAATTTGTTTTGCATTGAACAATGTTTTTGCATTTCTTAATGCCAGTTTGTATCAGTAATTTATTATCAAGAAAAAAAAAGTCAACTCTGGCCCTGGCTGTGCCAGGAACATGGATATCTATTTCCAAAGTGTGCCTTGAATTAGTTTGTGCTGTTTGTCGTCTTTCCCGCTTTTCTGTGTATCTATAGAGACCTGCGGAGTCAGAGCCTCCTATCAGTTAAAGGGTTGACAGCGAGGCATCCAGAGCAGCCGGGTGCAAGCGTGACATAGATAGGAGGGGGGAGGGAGGGGGAGACTTGGACACTCTGGTAACGGGGGATCTACTTGTTCTATTGCACATACGTTTCTGCCTTTTCTTCATGTCTGGCTTCCAAAAAAAAATCTCACAGTTATAAACAGGCAGCAAGTAGCATTATTTTTGTTTTTTGTTTAAATTAAAAAAAAAAAAAAAAAAAAAAAAAGAAAGAAAAAGCTATGGACAAGTACGGAAAAAAAGCGCTCAATTAAATTGCAGCCAAAACCAGGATATAATAATAATAATAATAATAATATTAATAATCATCAACAAGAATATTCACAAAAACAACAACAATAGCCATATATAGCTACACAGGCAGAAAAAGTAACATTTACCTGTATATATATATCATATAAAAAAACAACAACAGTGTAAAATTGATTGTCATTTCAAGATAAAAAGCATTAAAACATCCAAGGCATCAACAGTGAGGAACAAACTGAACTAGAAAAAGTGACGAGGGCTGAAGGGGAGATTCACAGAACTGAAGCCCAAATGAACAACGCACACAGAGGGAGGGAACCCATTTGGTGCACATCATGCGTCTGAGAAAGCTTTTGGCAGCCTTGAATGCAGAAGAGCGGCGAAACAGAGGCAACAGTTTACAAAGGCCATCCACCCATCTGTCCATCTTCACGACCCTCCGTTTGTTACTCGCCACCCCCCACCCCCACCCCCCCTCCTCCCAGCTGTCAGATTTCAGCGTTCACTTCGTCAAAAAACTTCATCCGATGACGGAGAGTTGGGACGCAGCTTAAGCAAGCGCGTGCTGTGGCTCATTGAGAGCGAGAGAGAGAGAGAGAGAGAGAGAAAAAAAAGGGTCCAGCAAGTTCCACGCCTGACAAACGAAGCAGGGCGAGACTCAAAAGTGCTGAGGAAGGCCGCGGCCTGGCGTGGAGGGCAGGACAGCGCCGAGAGGAGCGGCATGGCTTTGATTTGACCGAGCCCTGTGACCAAGAGAGGTAACTCCTGAAAAGCTTTTCAAGCAGAGTAAAGGGGCGTTGGTGAGTTCACACACACACACACACACACACACACACACACACACACACACACACACACTTACGCACACACACACGCGCTCTCACTCAGTCCACACATTCACACTCAAACACATACACAGGAGTAAATCTGTCCCTGAATGTGCCAAGCAACGGAAGTCTTCTTGATCCACAAAATGTACAGAGAGTTCACAGGAGGGATTCTTCATCTTTTAAAAAAAAAAAAAAAAAGTTCCTCCTCCCATCCCAGAGAACAAACCACCCCACGATCAGAGGGTGCGGCCTTTCTCTCACTGCCAGTCCTCATCGTCCTCGTCCTCCCTGTCTGACGAGTCGTCGTTGGTGCTGTCCCCGCTCGCCTGCCGTGTCCCGTTCTGCTGCCGAGCAGCCAGGATGGCGGCGGCCTCGGCTGCTGCTTTTGCCGCCGCGCGTTCCTCGGCCTCTTTCTGACGCAGCGCTGCCGCCTTCTTCTCCTGCTCGGCGTGGCTCTTCATGTGGGCGCTGCGGCTCTTCACCTTGTAGAAAACCCTGCAGGAGGAGGACAGAGGAGGTCAGAGAGGTCTTTTCTCTAAAAAGGTTTTCAATAAGAGCACTGTAGAAAAATAAATTAATAGAGAAAGCAAAAGGCACAAAAGGGGTAAAATCTGAATCATTATTATTAGTTGATGTAGTCTGGTCACCTGATGAATTTTCCAGCATACCTACACACAACTTCAACCTGTACAGGAGAGCAAGCAGCAGGACTAAGGCTGCACTCAGGCTGATATTAGCGCTGCCTGAAATAAAAACCCATCCCCCCTCATTCATTTAAATGAGGTGATACAGCGGAGGTGCCAATGCGGGGGGTGGGGTGGGGGGCACAGGGTACTCGTTATAAAAGTTAAACTCAGCTCAACCTTTGCCACCACGTCATGCTGCGGTGGCCAATCAAATGGATGCCAGCACACATTCCTGGCAGATACCACTGTTTACTTTACAATTGCTGCAACGAAAGACAAACTGTCACCGTGATAACTTCCCAGTTCTGTAAAATCATTATGTTCTGTATGTATTGTATGGATATTATTTTGCATATTGTTCAACACCGTGTGTAAAGGGTTCTTACATGTTTCTTTGCCTCTCCATAAACATTGAAGTGAAGGCTCAGTACGATGCATGGAGATAAGGGCTGGGTAACTGACAGTCCACTAGGCCATTATCACTCTTCAATTCAACATTCTGCGGATTATTTTCTTTAATTAAATGTCTCATTAATGTCTAGTACAACTTCCAAGATGATATATTAAATTTCTAATTTTGCCTGACCAACTGTCCTCAAGAGTTTCAACTTAGTTATATAAATTAGAGAAAATCTAAAAAATTTAAGAGACTGGTAACAGAAAATGTTTTTCTGTGAAATGATGATAGAGTTCGATGGTAAAACTTCTGTCGACCGAGTAATGGACTTATCAGTTTAGTTCTAAAATAAAAATCACAGCATGTGACACAGCAGTGGGTCTGTACTTGCACAAAATGTGCACTCATGTGTGTTGGGACAAACTTTTCCATCCTTATGCAATATCTAGACCTTGCAGAGTGTGGAAGTGACTGATAAACCCCGGTTGGATTTCCTGTAACATAATTCTTCAGACTCTGCGGTGGTGGACGCTCTATAATGAGCACACTTTGAGCAGGGTGAGTATTCAAAGAGAGAGAGAGTAGATCTTGTCATGTCACTGGGTAGAGCTGAATTGACAAGAGGCGTGATGTGCCCGTCTACTCTGTGTTTCAGTTGCTAGGACACGGCTGGCAATAACAGGCCCGGTGTTGCCAGAGGACGAGCTGTTATTTAATCAAAGCATGACAGGACAGTTTGATTCTTTCAAACAGACACCACAAGACACTTGCCTCTATTTACTAATACATATTCCAAGTGGGCAATGGCATTAGCAATACTTCCTGCAGAAATTCTGCATTTTATATCTGGAGAGTTCAGTCTAAGGCTGCTTATGTAACTCAACTGACTGCTGCTGTCAGCTTTGCATAAGTAAACAGAGCCCAACCGGCGTCTCCAACACAACAGCGGTGACTGATGTGACATTTCTGATCACCGACCTGCCACATTTCTTGCAGGGGAACTCTCCCTCCTGCCCGGCTGAGGCTTTGTTGCCTGTTGAAGGGCTCGTCCGGCGTGCGTTGCCATCGTAGCGTGCTTTGGAGCTGGGAGGAGGTGGATGAGGGGCGTGGATGACCCGAGACAGCGGCTGGTCCCTCCCCGTGTCGTCCTGGCCTTTCATGATCAGGACGGTCCCGGGCTGCGCACACACACACACACACAATAAGAGAGAGAGGTGGAGTTAACATGAAAGCTCCAATTTAACAGTCACTGAGGGCATTTAGGAGAGAAAATAATGAGCCTGAACCTACTTTACGATCACCTTTTATGTAGGATAGTGTTACAATGGCATGCAAACATGTGCCAGTAAACAAACATATGGACACACAGTTAAACAAAACAGCAACATATGCAGCCTGGTACTTTCCCCAACAACTGATGTGTACTTAATGATGAAATGAAATGGAAATAAGAAGAATAAATGTTTCTTGTCGAGTCATTGTTTACTGACAGACATCGTGGAGTTGCACAATCCAGAGAGGGCTGACATCAGCCAAGTTATCCCCACTACACATCCAGCAGGGGGAAGCAAATGCAACAACCAGCCACCAGGACAAGTCCAGCAGAGTTCAAAAGGACAAAGTGTGGAGTCTGAAGAGGCAAGCTGAGGTTTCTCACCGGGATCATTTGGTTATGTTCCAAGGGCCGTGGGAGGTCTTTGTATAACAGGCATTTGTTTGTAGCTGTAAGGTTTGGTAGGCTCACCAGTTACCAGTTTCGTTGAGTCAGTCTACAGAGAGTCTTTTAGAGTTATTCAGCCTATTAAGTGTTTAGGGAGCGCAGTTCAAGCTGAGGGACTTTCTGATAGCCTGTGAAACATATTTTGCTGCCATGTGAGGAAAACCAGTCAAAAGCATCTTGCGACATCTTTACTGCATAAAACAGACGGAGCAAATAATCTCGAGCCGAGCCGAGAATTACTGCTGTCACTGAATGTCATAATGAAGGAGCTCAAAAGACAAAGAGTGTGGAAAATAATAACGAGGAGGAGATCGACAGGCAGACAGAACGCGCCATTTAGTTCAGTTTCTCAGTCAGTGACAGAGACGCATTACTTGTGATGACAATTTTGTTTTAACATAAAACATAAAATGTATTTGTCATCTTACTGTCATCGCTCAGGTCATCCATGAAAGAGAGAGTGAGAGAGAGAGAGAGAGCAAAACAGGACACACTCGCTTTTTTGGTCACTCCTCTTTCTCTCTCACTCATAGGGCAACGCAGGATATCATAATGTATCAACTGGGTCACAAGAGGTTAAAAATCCTCTTATAACGATAATCTGACCAACAGTCTCTCCCCATTGTTTTAATTTACATGCAAACTTATGGATGAACGAAAGAACATCCAGCCAGCTGCTTTACATACTGCATGTGAGTAAATAGGAATTAAACATGAGTCCAGACTCCTGTCATTCAATGCTCGTTCACTATCGAATATTAAACAGGCAGCAGAGTTAACATTAACATTACTGTAAAAAAGATGCCTGAATGTCTCTATGACAAAATGCCATCGCTTTAACAAGTAGATAAATCCAGTAATGTTACATATTCCATGTCTGAAAAAAAGGCTTATGTGACCTTCAAACCCAAACAAAGAGTCGAAGTTGGGAGTGGAAACGTACAGTATGTTTTCTGTCAAGCTTTGATGGAAGTAATTCATGTTTCACTTCTATAAGAGAAAAGGCTTCAAGGATGAGGACTGTTTTACTCTTAAACTATCAGTACTTCAGGGAATCTTTCCCACCAGGAGAAGTCTGAAAGTGTTTTAAATCATCTGTCGGAAAACAGGGAGGTCGTTTTATATTTGGGTTAATACAGTGACTCAGTAAACATGGTGACAAGGACATTTCATTATGGATACCATTCTTTTCAAAAACAGATGCCTCCTTCATACACGTCAGGGTCTACAGACAGACTACAGAATTGGCCATTGTTAAAAAGTACAAATCAATGATCTCATAGGTTACAGGATGAAATCGCTTTTCTCTAAAAACATTTTTTTATCTTATCTATGAATTAACAGGAACATGATGGTGGATGTCATAAAACAGACCTGTTCAATCCTTTTATCTACTCGTTTTATTTGTTTGTTCAGCCACTGGTTAATTTCCCATGCAGAGCCAATAATCAATTTCACACTCACGTTCTCAGTGGACTGCAGCGCGTGTGTGACCCTGGTGGGGCCGACATCCTGTTTCCTGTCAGCTGATCCTTCCCACTTCCTGCTGTCCTCCTCCCGCTGCGGCTCCAGTCTGTGAGAGCCCTGCTGGCCCGAGGAGGTAGAGTTTGAAGACATAAGCCTCTGGGAGAGAAACTTACAGCTCCATGCTCATTTACACATCTCTGTCGTGGAGCGTTACACATGTTGCCTTTCACACTGCAACTCTTTTGAACATTGGTTTTGAAGTATTTGTATTTTTTTTTTTCAAGGCTACGCAGTAAATACTGCAGAGTAAAGGGGGTTAATTGATTAAGATGATGAGGATGTTTAAAACTTGCTGCCGTGTATTTATGTAGCACAGTTTCCATAACAACCAGCAAACTGCACCTGCAATGTTTCCATGGTTGAAGGAAATCTCTGCATCTAATGTTAGTAAATGGTGGAGTGAGCTGCAGCCGCTCACACGCTGTTCATTTGAAGACTCAGCTTGTCAATATAGATATAGATGTTTCTGAATTGACGCTCTGCAGTTTCACATCTAAATAAAACGCTGCTGCTGTTTCATATCTAATCATATTGCCCTGTGGTTAAACAAGGTCACATTCATTGTGATTATTTATAACTAGATTAAGTTTTTTCTAGCTTTCAGGAAAATCTCTTCAATATATAACATATCAATATTTTGCATATTGCATTTGGTTGTTTCCATGACAGAGGTAGGTGGAAGCGCTTTGGCCTGCTTTATGTCAGGATCTTCATCGTCTCTGTGACAGCTTAAATTTCTAAAATGACCATCTTTACGACTTTATATCAGCAACAAAACACATTACTGCACTGTTAACTGACCTTGTGGTCCATCTCCTCCTCAGTGGTCCTGCTCTCCAAAGGCTCGGCCTCTCCGTAGATCAGCGTCCCGTTGCGGCCCATCTTGACATGTTTCTTGTACGTGTAGTAAAACTCCACACACTGCGCCACCGTCTTAGTGGTCACCTGTCAACACACACACACACACACACACACATATACACACACACACACACACACACACACACACCCACGCAATACATGTTATTGAGCACATGAAGTCATTTTTCCGGGCATTCGGGAGCAGGATCATTTTTGATTTGATCTGAGAAGCTTTCCTTCAGCTGGGGCTGCAGTTTGATCAATTATTGATTCATCTGCAGATTATTTTATTCTTTCACATAATCATCAGACCACTGACTTTACCAACATATGAAAAAAAAGAAAAAAAGAAAAAAGAAAAGCCGCAAACTCTTACATTTGAGAAGCTGAAATCACAAAGTGTTTGGCACTTCTGCTCCAAAAATGATCGGAACAAATAATCAATTATGAAATCAGTTGCTGATCTATCTCCCAGTAGATCCCACAGGCTGACAATTCACTTGTTGGTGAAGTGGTGTGTGACTGACATCCATGCAGAGACTCAGACAAGAAAATCGAATAGTTTTGCATTGTTGTGGAAAAGCAATAATTGATTGCGACACTGGAAATGATTAAACAAGAAGGACACATTGTTCCAGAGTGACTATATTTCCCTTTCCCCCGCCACAGGATATTATCATGTGCACACTGTGTGAACTGGGAAGTTTTGTTGATTGCACAGCTAGGTGGCCTTAGTCGCAGCATGACGCAACTGATTTTGCTGTCCCTGCCCTGTGAAACTGCACGCGTACCTGTTTCTGCACCATGAAGAAGTCCTTCTTGTATGCAGTGATGCCTTTGTTGAACTGGCGTCTCTCAGCTGCCGTCCAGCTGTCTGATCCTGAGGGAGGGAGAGGAAGACGTTTCAACAGAGAGGAGAGAGAAACAGCGTGTTAGTGGCCAGTTTATAAACACTTAATCACATAGCAAGTATCTTTATTCTGGTTGTGTTGAGACCTAGACAAGTTCAGTGCCCCCCAAACCCCCCCTCTTAAAACCACACACACATTCACTCAAATCACTTGATAAACAATGGCTCTCCTGTCTTCTGCTTGGGATTAGCCACATGCTGCCCCCCCCCCCCCCCCAGCCTATTCCCCTCTTCCCCCCTCCTTTCCTCATCACGTTGACCCTGACAATCCTCCATAGTCCCCCACTACCCCCACCAGCATCAACAGCAACACCACACTCTCGCTACTGCAGCTGCCATTGCTTAGAGGCAGAGGCTCAGAGAGTCCATCACTGTTTATTGGTAATAAGACGGAAATTTTTTTTGGGGGGGGGGGGGGGGGGGCACGCTGCACACATCCAAGATTATTAAGTAAGGCACAAATATAAACACAAACATACACAGATAAAGCAAGAATTTATCTTGGCTGAAATTTGGATTTTTAACTATTTATGAGCATTTGTTTTGAGCTTCTTTGTGCACCAGATGGGTGGGGTCTTATCACATGAGGTAATAAAGGATGCTAGAAAATGATGGCAATGACTGGTGATCAGTTTAGTCAACTTTCTTTTACGGATCATTTCTCACAGAAGACGCTGCTTCAATAGATCTAGGGCTGCCAATAATCATTAGAATTCATCATCAATTCATCTGTCGACTGTTCTGTCTGTTTGGTCTGTTAAATGCCAAAAAATACTGAAAACTGACCGTCAACAGTCTAAAACCCCATATTTATCAATGTAATATCACATCAGACATTTGGTATTTTTGCTTGAAAAATGACTGAAACGATTACTTGTTTCAGATCTAAGTAAATCCCATCCATTTATTGTTATTGGAAAAAAAAAAAAAAGCAAAAAAAAAGCAAAAGTTCTATTGAAATACTAATAAATTATATTTTTATAGTACTGACCTGAGTAGTGGTAGTTTGACAGCTGATGAGACTTGGAGAAAATTGGGTTCCTCAGCATCAGGAGCGACAGAGCAGCCTGAAAACAAGATCGTAACATTACTTGAAAGTGAAGACACTTGGCACATTAGCTGCATTAACTGCACAACAGTGATTGTTGTGAGCTTTTATAGAGAAGGTCACTCCTGCCAAGCAGACTGACTCTTGCTCTATTAGGAGCTCCAGCTGTGCTTTATAAACCTGTAAAAACACACTGAGCCAAACAATGAATGTTACAGGTGACCAGGGAGGGAGATAACCATCGTTCTCATTTTCCTGCAAGTATCAAGTACCTAAGTGCATCATATTATGTTGATACGCTCTCTGGCATTGTCAAAAAAAGAAACCGTCTCACTGTGCATGAATGCTGAAAGACGAGACCGCTGCAGAGAGTGGGCGCTCTGACAGCACCCCCCCCGCCGCCCCTCCTCATAGTTTCCTTGACAACGCTGGACCAGAGCTGGTCGCTAGGGCCTGAAATCTCCAACAGTATCGTACCACAAAGCACTCTGAACAACTCTGAAGCAGGCATCGAGTCAAGTCCAGCTTGTGCATCTTCAATAATGGAAGTAGTGGTTTAGGATGACTGTTTATGTCGCTCTAAAGACAATGTGATGCAAAACGCAAACATTTGTTTTCCCTGTGAAATGAAAAGTCAGTCTGTGCTGCTCAGTGTTGAATAATTCTTATTCGTATTAGTCTTTTTTACACAAGACAAAAATAGTAAATGTGATTTATATTGTTTCTTAATTTTTTCAACTAAATATCTAGTAAGATTAGGTGCCACAGATACAGTATTATTAGTATTATTGTTAGAGCTGCAATGATAGGGGGATTGGTTGGTTGGGAACTGGTTGGTTGATGAACAAAAAATTTACAAAAATTTACAAAACAATTTTGATAATTGATTAATTGTTTAAGTCATTTTTAAGCCAAAATGTGAAACATCTGATGGCTCCAGCTTCTCAAATGTGACAATTTGCTGCTTTTTCTTGGCTTCACATCATAGTAAATTGAATATATTTGGTGTGACAAAATAAAAGATACCTTAGGGTTATACAGGTTATTATGAATCACATCATAATCAAGTATGATAATAATTGTTAGTTGCAGCCCTGATCATTATTATTATTATTATTATTATTATTTGCATTTAAATGACTCAATTTAACTTTGTTACATTCAAGATAAAAGCTGGTCTCATGCAGCGAGGCTATTCTGAGATGTTCAGCCTTCATTTTTTCTTTTATTATCCCAAGTGTAGCCATTGTTCCAACCCTCCCACTGCTCATTTCTGTTTAATTCTCTGAAACTGCACCATGCCTGACTGTATCTGATGTTGTTTTGTTGGTATTTCAATGGGGGTGATGTGACCAGGAAAGGGCCACTTGAGATGCTGCCTCGCAGCATTTAACAGTGACAGCTATTTGGCCTCATTACCACAACCAGCACAGAGCACATTGTTCTTTTTTTTTGTGAAATTTGAAATCTAATCAGTTGCACAGAGAGACTTATCATAAGTCGTCATTTGAGCTATTTCATACTGTGGTCAAAGATGAGGTCAGGCTGCTCTTGAAGGATTACATCCTCGGATTTATGCACTGCAAACTGAACTATCCCTGATAATGATCTCTGATGTAATTATCGGTCTGACGGTGGTACAATGATTATGAGACACAGGATGTATCACTTTCAGGTTCAGGTGGGGCACCCGTCTGACCAGTCTTGGTGACACTATCACTGAACGCAAGCTTGAACATTTATGACTTTTCTGACCTTTCTCAAGCACATCTATGACTTTGATGTTTCGTGTATCAAGATGCTTTCAAGTACAGCAAAGAAATACGTGTGAACCTGACCACATGTGTTAAAAACCTGATGCAACAAGGGCAATATACTGTACAATGCTGTACGTTTCGCCTGGCATCTTAAAAGGTAGAAATCCTTCTCCTCATCATGTCGAGTGAAGCCCTGATCTTTGCTTTCTATATTTGACAATATCTAGAACATGGCTACAATAAACGACTGAGCTAGGGCTGCAACTGATGAATAGATTCATCTTTTGGTTTATAAAATGTCAGGCTTTAGGAAACCTCTTCAAATGTCTTAAATAAAACAAAAGAAAAAAGCAGCAAATCCTCACAACCGAGAAGCTTGAACTACAGAATTTGGGGCTTTAATTAACTTGAAAAAACTATAAATCAAATATTAAAATAGGTCAATTGTAGATTTTTCTGTCAATTGACTGTTGTGCTTCACACCTCTCTGACAGCATGTGCAGCTCTTCTGCTCTACACACAGCAGCATCACTCTGCCTCTGGCTAAAAAAACCACACTGTTGTCAGTCATCTCAGGACACCACAGAGTTTCAGTACAGAGCAAAAGTGAAATTCTACAGATCAGTCACTTCCGTTCAGTAATCAAAGAGAGCTCAGATGAATGCATTACAATACATTCACTACATCTAAGTGCGGACAAGAAACCAGATTATTGGGAGGGAGCCGGTTAGGGCAGGAAGTCGGAGGACACGTGCGTGTGCACTGCATCAGTCTGATTACTTTAAACTTTGCATTTAGATGCAGCTGGTCAATAATCAGATTCATCTTCTCCCACATTTCATATTTTTGAATTGCGACTTTCATATTTTCAGTGTATTAGTGAGATATGAAGCAACACCATGACATGTTTTTGTCCTGGTTTGACTTTATATTGAATTCTTTTGAATGGAAGGCCTTGCTCTTGCTCATATGAAACCCCAACTCTAACCCTGTTAGAAGAAGGTTAAAGGTTCACAAGACCAGAAATCAGACAGAAATCCAGTTTCCTCGTGTACATGATGCTTAAGGTTTGTGCAGAAAGCCAACAATAACATGATTGCATTGCAGTAATGGGCTTCTGTCCAGTTACAAAGCATAGCAATATATTCTTTCAAGGCTTTGAGGTAAATGGCAAATGTAATCATGTGTGGACTGTACATTAGGCCTCGCATTTTCTCTCATTCAATGCTATTACTTCGGAAATAATGATTAAATACCCCATTTCAAAATGATTTACCACTTCAAAATGAGAAAAACAAACCTAACAAAGTCTAAAAACGATAAACTACCGCCAGTTTGTTCTATTAATCATTCTATAAAAGCTGGAGTCCTTTTTTCTTGAAATGGTTCATATCTGATATCTTTTAAGTTTTTCTGTGTGACACTAGATATTTTAACAGGAATGCAGATATTGCTGTTTTTATGAGTCAAATCAATCTTTAAGAGGAAAACATGTCGCTGTTCCTGTGTGGGTCAGAAGGAAAAACGGATAAATCTGTTTATTGCAGAGCACAGCTCTTGCTCATTTTTCTTTTTAATAGTGTAAATCCCTGCCCGGCCGATCAATACGGATTGTTCTGTCACACTCACCATTATGTCCCCTTTGCATTCGTACAGACAATGGTGGGCTAACTCCTGGTTGGTGCCTCCTCCACACAAAACACTGGAGCAGGCCATGTGCATGAGGTCTTCCACTGAAAGAGACAAAGATTGTTCATGACAGGGAAAAAAAACACACACTTTGTTATTATTTTACAAACAGTGGTGACAAGATTTTGTAAATTTGTAAGGGAAAGAATGAACAAGGCGAAGCATGTAATACAATCATAATCTAATAAAATGATGTGATTTTTTCTATTATGGACGATCAACATTAGTCTGAGTCTAAAACAAACTTCCCCACAGTGACAAATACTCTATATGGTATTACAATAAGATACCACTGCATATGAGAAAATGTAACATGGTAATACCATTACATTTACATTTACAATTACATTTTCTCATATGCAGTGGGATCTGCAGAGTTAAAACTGCTTGCACAGAAGTCACCCACATTGCAACATCTTGATCATGAATTGTTGAAAACGTTATCTCTCAAGTGATAACAACAGACAGTTACTTCTGTAGTTTGCAAACAAGGAAATTACATACTTAAATGAATAAAAACACAGGGTTTAAGACAAAAGAAATTGGTGATTTATATTCAAACTAATTACTTCTTATCATAAAATGTAAATCAGGACTCTGAAGAGCAGAAAGTCAGCTTCACAGGAAATAATAGTTAGCTGCTTTCAGCCTACAAATCCTGCACAAAACATCCTCTTCCGTCTTCTGCTGTTGGTTTCAGGTGATGTAACAATAGTGAAATAATGTGTCAGGTATTTTTACTTACCTTTCTCGTGGAAGTCAGGTTTTTCCTCCAACTCATTCAATGGAGCCCAGACCAGATCCGCGCAATGGTGATCCAGCTCGACAGCTGACCGCTGCCTCAACTCTGGCACCTCTGCCTGGTACCGCGACCCAATATTTATCCGCCTGGGAACAGGACATCAGTGTGAGCGACAAGGATGGAGATCATTCAATTTGAATTTGATCAGAATTCATCAAGTGCCTCTTCAGTTATGAGGCATTTATTCACTCTTAAATATTTCAGTCAAGACATCACATATCAATATCAAATTTCTTTTGAGAGTAAAGCTGTTGTTTTTTTTCTCAGATCATATATTGGTTTCCTCGCTTTTCTTCCTGCCATGATCTTTAAATAGCCGCAGGGAGATTGCTGAGGCACTCAGGCTCTGAGTGCTGTAATTCTTGCACTGTTTCGAATTCAAGCTTGTTACACAGCTCTCTTGTGTTCTCAGCATAATGAGTAAAATGCAAATGACTTTCAAAATGTGTATTTTAAAAAGAATGCATTTCTTGAATTGACTGAATTGAAAGTAAATGGATCCTCTTTCTGCTGAGGGACAAAAGTTGTGGCCAAAGCAGAAGAAAGACTCATAATCCAACCAGTGCGGAAAGTCAAAGATAATATTTCTCAAGGGGCTGAAACCAGATATCACAGGGATGCAGTTTTGTTCACACAGACAATCCCGTTCAAGCATGTCTCCTCCCTCCTCTGCATTTCCAGTGGGCCTGCAGTATTTCCAGCTGAGTGAGTGTGTGTATTCTGGCTGCCTCCCCCAGGGAAGGTGGGCTGCTAAAAGTTGAACTGTGATGCCTCTTGTGTGCACACCAGACCCAGCTGAAGCCATGATTTATGAGAAGCCTCACTGGCTCGTCCACTAACTAACTAACTGCTGAGCAGCTGGCACTAGTCAGGCAACAGCTTGCACAATGCACCCCATAAACTGCACCTCACTGTCAATGCAACAGCAAGCAACTACAAAAAGAATTGTTGTCTGATGGTTTAAGGGTTAAACACCCGGGTCTCAGTTTTCTTTAAGCTCCTCCTCTCTGCTGCTCTAATTTTTATAAACGCCCAAGCTACCGTTGGCTGTGTTTACATTAAAGGAGTAACTTGGTTGTTGGTGATTTCTTATTGGTCTTATTTGGTTTAAGTTTTTCCCTGCATTATCTCTGAGAATAAATTTATTTATTTTTGGATGGTATTTTTTTTCTGCAATGGCCATTCAATGTATTTACATCTCTATATAGTAGCTTTTACTGTTAGTGCCACTCCAGCACTGGATTCGATGAGGAACAATGCAGACATGTACCGGTAATCCAGCGTAAGTTTATCTCACTGAATTCAGTCTCGCTGTTTACTTCCTTTATACCATATCAAGGTTGTTTTAAATGAATGCTAATTTAAATGGAACTCTTCCTACTGCATCTGCTTCACATTAAAAGTTCCCTAACTTGTGAAACACAAGGAAGGCTTTTATTGTGAAGCTGCCACAGGATACAGCAACAGCATATTTTATAGGTTAGTTCTGCTTGTATCAGTAATGAAAGACATTTTTCTGTTTATATATTGAAACAATATTTTTAACATAACAAGATTATGACTTTATTTAGAGTCATTTTTTCGTATATTTTGTGTTGAAAAGGGGGATATGCATGTGGGTTGTATGTTGCATGTTAGTGGCATGTTAGTTTGCAGGGAAGTCGGCAACAATGAACCAAAATCAACCTGGACTGCAGAGGGTTAAAACAATGCAAGTCTCTTTGGCTGCACTGTTAACAGTTAAACCAGTTCCTCTGTTGTAATTCCATAGCTGCTCAACTAGTGTCTGCTGGAGTATTAAACCATGGGTGTGAATCTAAATCAACCAGGACTAAAATCTTAAGGATTTAAACTTTCATATCAACAAAAGCCTCATATGGTATTCTGTTAAACTCCAGATTCTGATCAGTTTCCAGCCACATTATAACACACACTGAAGAGCACAGGCTCAGGCCTCTGGTGTATTTAACGTCATTAGTTTTCAAACAGCTTCAAGGCTTTCATTTGACAGATAACACGGACTTGTTATGACAGGATGCATTTCACTGAGGGAGACATTAGGCTGAATAGTTAGATCAGAAGGTGAATGCTGCCACTAATGCAAGCTGTGGATGACAGGGCAAAAGATTCCAGTGGTAACAGTGGTGAAGGGGAGGGCCGCTTTAAAGGATGGGTTTAGAATTTCAAGTCTGTGCTCTCCTTCAAGACAAATCATGATTCAGCCCAGTGTTATGGTTTGAATAATTGATTGCAGAACTACTACTCAAGCATGCTCTTGAGTAACCATATAATTTATCTGAAAATGACACACACACAGCTCATCTCCCTCCCCCCAAACCCACCCTTTCCATAATGGAAGATGATGATTTTGGGATGTGGAGAGGGAAAATACTCACGGCTCGATGCTGACTGGAGTGGCCTCGCTCATAGCCGACAGAACTGGGGGTGTGATGTCGCAGCTGTCTAAAGGGGCAGCAACACAGAATCCACTCAGTCACATTATCAAAAAGGTTTTTGTCATAAATCGCAGGAGTTATATTTTGTATATGTTGTATATATTCTGTCTTGGAGGTTAAAAACAAGAATATCAAATGCAGAATCATACATCACTGCCAGATGTTTATTACTTTATGTCTGAATCTACACAGTTTAGATGTCCTGTGGATAATTCAGTGAGGTCTCATGAACTTATCTTTATGTTTTTTACTTACTGGAACGCAACAGGCTGCGTGTGGCCGACTTGGGCGTTGCGGGAGGTGGCAGGCCCTGGCCGCTGGCGGCAGCGGCTGCTGCAGAAGACAGGAAGGTGGAGAAGTAGAGGCCTGAGCCCTCACGAACAGGGCTGAGGATGGGTGGAGGCGTGTAGGGGGGCATGGTGAGGGGGTTGTCAGCCAGGCGAACGGGGGAGCGTAGGTGGCTCTGGTAAGGTGTGATGGTGGAGTACACTGGCGGAGCGATGAATAAACCGGGTTTAGGTGGTGGGATGAAGAGAGGCTCAGGCCGGGGACGCCGTTTGGACTTTTTGCCATCTTCGTCTTTCTCCCCCTCTGTGCCGCCATTCTGGTGAGGGAAAATCATTTTAAGAGGTGAATATTTGACTCTGTTTTTAATTTTATGTAAAAACACACACACAAAAAAAAAACACACGACAATTTGGCTGCTAACACAGTTGCCTTTCTATGTGTTTATCCAGAGAAATCCTAGAGAACAAGCCACCCCAACCCTCAACTGTATGGTACATAATGTACAGTATGGCAGTGCTAAACCCTGATAATCTGCCTGATCTGGGACAGGGCAACCAGTTCACAAAAAACCCCCCTCACTGCCCAAATGAAAGAGGGAAAGGGGGAAAAGTGTGGACAACTAAAGTGGGGGCAGGGGAGACACCGAGCATGGTGGGGGGAAGGGAGAGTATGTTGGTGGGGCGATGTGGCATAAATGCAAGGATTTAATAACTGGAGTTTAGACAGGCAGAAATAAGACTGAAGAAGACAGATGGATACCAGATTATTGCTCGACTCTGATAGCTTGGTAAATAAATATATGAAAATGTACCAACTAAAAAAGGTTTAGCAAACTCTGCTGGCACTGCAAAAACAAACAAACAAACAAAGACAACAGAAAGCCATCAAGAACAAAATTATACTGACTTGCTCTGAGCTCTCTGACAAGGAGTTCCTGAGTGAGCGTCTCCGGGTGACAATGACCGAGGGTGTGTGGTCTGCACGGCCGAGGTCCTGGGGGTTTGAAGGCCTGGGGGGCCAGTTGGAGGCCAGGGTTGCTTCGTCTCTGTCAGGGGAGGAGGGATCCTGCCTCCGGACCGGAACAGACACGGGGATGACGAGCGGCAGAAGGTTGTCGTCTCGAGGGCGCTTGGCCTCTGATTCACTGGGACTCCATGGTCTGTGTGGCTCCTAAGAAAGATTGTGGATTCATATAAAACATCCTAGAGCATATGCAAATGCATTGCCAGCACACTGCAAATGAACTGGTTGACACTAAACAGCTGAAACCTTAAGTGTATTTATCAATCCACAAAAAATCTCAATGAATCAGTAGCAATTTTGATGAGTGAGAAATTGTTCCAGCTCCTTAACTGTAAATATTTGCTGGTTTTTTCATCTTTCATAACTGTTAACTAAGGAAATCATAATGGGTATTCATCACTGTATTACTTTCTGGTGTTTAATAGACAAAATCAATTATCCAGATTAAATCAATAATAAAATAAAGGTTATTTGTATCCCTATACTAAAACATACATCCTCGTGGATTTAAAAACACTCAGAGGGTGACTCCTCAAACTAGGTTACTGTAATAGTTAAAGACAGCAGTTTCATCCTGTTACAACCTGTTGCAACAATTAATAAAGTTATCTGCTGCAGCTGATACGGAGCACCTTCAAGTACCTGCAGCTTAGCACACCATAGTACAATAACATTTACTTGGTTGGCTGCCCGATTCAAATCAATTCAATAAATTGGAAACCCTACAACCTTGTTGCTCACCTCACACAAAAACACAACACGTAACAAAAATTCAGTCAATACTCAAAATGGAGTGTTAACAAATAGGTCGATACAATACTCAACGAGCCTGAGATGTATTCCCACAAACACTGAAAATAAACCGCTGTAAAAAAGCATTTCAAAATAAAACAGGATGAAGACAGAACTTGAAATGTTCCCATGTCTCGGCTTGATATTGCACTGCTAGGTGCAGCACTTAAGTGACAGACCTTACACGCATGTCAAAGAAACGATCCCCAAAAGCATTCTTCACATTTTTTTCTTTGAGAAACTGTAATGAGTGGGCACAAGCAGCCTGGGTGCTTTAGAGCAACGATCAACTCTGGAGCAGCTTCAAAGCCATCTAAACCACCACATCAGAGGCCAGTTGAAGACGGATGCATTCTGCCGCTGCACGCTGCATCGTCATGGGCAGAGAGGCATGCAGCAGTGTGGGCTATGCTGAATCTCTGCTCATTATTGCTGGTGGAAAACTCCAGTCCCTACACCGGAGTGGTGGAGAGATATTCTGCTGAGCACTGCACGCAGGGCAACCCTGCACCCCTCCCTGTACAGAGAGAGGGGGGAGGGCAGACAAGGCCAGGCTGGAGTTTCTCTCCTTTGATGGGATGGGGGGAGGTGTGTGCAGGCATGTAACCAAACACACTGTCTGTATGATCAGCTACCCATGAGGCAAATCCAGGGCACAGCCGTGCTGAACTACAGACATACTGACTCTGTGCTGTTTGGAAACAGGACTTGTTGCACAATCAAGACATTCAGCAGATAAACACAGATAAGTTTATGCCTTCACATGGCACAGCTAGGGTAAGTGGCTCCTTTAAAACATGCTGTGAGAGCTGAAAAGTCACATAAGAAGCTGTTTTTAAAGTATATGTGACAATATTCACAATGTAAAGATTTAGCCACTGATTTTCCCCACAAGGCAGAGTTGAGCAGCTCAGTCCTGTTGTGTACACTTCATTGGGCGTTGATTACACCCAGCATCTCTTCCAGCAACACGTTATTCACAAACAACACAAGTTTTGGCAGAGTTTTCTTGGCAGTAGGCTGTTTGTTCCAGTTCCCGCTCTTGTTCGGGGAGCTGAAGTCCCACTACAATTATAACCTAGGATAACACTAGAAAAATAGATTTCTAGTTCTCACCAAGATATTCACAATTAAGGCTTCCAGCTCATGGCGATGAGTTTAGATATAAATTGCTATGTAATGATCGGGATTGAGAACATTCTGTCCTTTTCTATTTAAGGTTATTTCTGTGGTTCTTTTCCTTGAGAGGAAACAGCTGAGAAACAGATGAGTGCGCAAAAGAGCGAGGGAAACAGAAAGACACAAAAAAGGAAAAGACAAGGGAAAGACAGAAGTAAAACGAAAGCAACATAAGGAAAGAAGAATGGCTGAGCATTTTGATAGTTTACAAATTAAAATGAGCATTTACCTTGACAACATGTGACGGCAGAGACTCCATTTCCGAGGCCTTTTGAGCAAGGGTCTCCAGGTTGACCTCCTGGGACACCCTGCGTTTCCTGCGCGTGCTCTGGATGACGCCCGTTGGGGCTGCCTGAATGTCACGGGCCCCGTTCTGGGAGCCCTGCAGCCCCGGGGCTGCCTGATCCGAGGAGACGGAGAGAAAAGGGTTGTCGGATGGCGCCCCTCCTTCCTTGGAGAGCCGTCGTGATCTGCGAAGCTGCGTTTGCGATTGGAGCTGCGTCTGGGGCTGCGACTGGGACAGGGGCTCAGACTGGAGAGGGGGCTGCAGGGGATCTGACGACTGCTGGGGTTCTGGGGTGATGTCCTGGATGACTGGTTCCTGGATCTTTGGGGGAGCTGGAGCAGAGGACTCCTGGGAGTGTACCACCACAGGCTGTGGATGTGGGTGAGGGTGTGCATTTTGTGCACCAGGGTAATAGTCAAGCACATGAGCGTTTTGTTGTTGCAACTGCTGATGTTGCATTTGCTGCTGAATATGGAGCTGTTGCACCTGCTGTTGTTGTATTTGCTGCTGCTGTTGTTGTTGTTGCTGTATCTTTTGTTGCTGCTGCTCGTGCTGTATTTGTTGCTGCTGCTGTAGCTGTTGCTGTACGTGCTGTTGATGCTGAATGATTTGTTGTTGCTGCATTTGTTGATGGTGCTGCTGCTGAATTTGCTGCTGGATTATGTGATGTTGTTGCTGGCGTTGTATTTGCTCTTGCTTCTGCAGCTGCTGTAACTGGTGTGGGGGTTTTGCCTGTGTTGAGTAGTTTGGTGGGTTAGGTAGGGTTGTCCTGTTGCCTTGAAAGGTCTGGTAGTAGGCTGGCAGATGCTGCTTGGGCTGACCAAAAGCCAACTGGAAGGGCTGCAGAACTGAGCTTCCTCCTGGGTGGGAAGTGCTGTGCTGCTGAGTGTTCAGTGCCCCAGGTTTTAATGTTTCCTGAAAGGCCTGAGACTGCTGCTGCTGCTGCTGCTGCTGCTGCTCCCACTCCATGCCCCGAGCCTTAACCGCATCCCTGTAGACTTCCACTGCAGGGTTGGCCCCTAGAGGCTGCTTGTCTGCAGCTCTGTTTGGGGGCTGTTGATGTGGCTGTAAGCCAGAAGTCTCGTGCATCGACTTCACAAATGCATTCTGGGTCCTTGAGTCTGTTACGTTAACTCCTCCGATATAATTTGTAAAGTTTTGTCCCCAGTTACTCATGGTGGTCCAAGAGGCAGCTCTCTGCTGCAGGGACTGTGATGGCTGCTGCTGACTGGGCTCCTGGTGGGCCCACTTCATTGGAACAGTCTGCTGATAATGACCCCTGCTCTGGTCACCCTTATCTGGGCTGAAGATAACAGAATTGAGGTACATGTGAGGACCTTCTGGATTGGAGGTCACGGTACTTGCAGCCTCGCTCTGTCCGGGATCTGAAGCAGTGCCACCTGGGACATAATAGGACCCTTCAGGGTGCTGAGAAGTCTCCTTCATTGCTACGCTTTGATCGTTGAAAAATGTGATGCGTTTGCCTGTTCTTTTGGCGCTGGGTTTCTGCTGGGCTGGTACACTCATGACGGGCATGAATAAGCCGAGCCAGGTGAATATTTTCAACCAAACTAACTACCGATGCTCAACCGGTTGTCACTTGAATATATCAATCCAAAAATCAAAGGGTATCCACAGTAAAATAAAGCTATAAAACTACATTGACATCAGTGTAAGGAGGAGTCAGGTCAACCAAGATAATCTTCTCTTCCCCTCTGAAGTTCTTTGTGACCCATCCAGAGGTTGCCGGCCTTGGGGTGAATAGATCCGAAGAAGTCTGTGTGTTTTCCTCATTCATGGGCAACACCCTGTATAGAGAAAATGAGAGAGAGGTCAAGCATTGAGCCATCAGACTAAAGGGGTCCCCACAGGGGGCTCTCATTATCATCCCTGCCTCAGCCATGTAAAAAACCTGTTGTTTGCTTTTTCAACAATAGACCTCCACTGAAAGGTATCGGGTGTGAGAATAGAGGAGGGGAGGGGTAGGTTTAAACTGTGTCATTATTCGCTAAGCTCACATGACATAGGGATAAGGTCCTGCATGCAGCCGGACACGTATACTAAAGGATCTGCATATAGCATTCCTTAGGAAAATAGTTAATAGAGAAAGCTAAATCAATAGTTCCTGGAAATGTCATTACAGGATATTACTGCACCAGGTTTAATGATGGGCTGTGACATCAGCACAGATGCACAAATGCACAGAAGAAATGTTCATCATTGAGGTTGACTTGCAACTTTAGCACCTTTGTCAAAACCCCTCACAGCTCAACTGACCTGCAACAGAAAGGAAGCTCTCTTTCCCGCCAAACAACCCGAACAGACAGCAGGTTGAACATGATAGAAAGCACTCTTTTTACAACTATGTGACTCATCGAAAAAGGGAACTCATGCCCTTTGAACCATGGCTGCAGACTCAAAAAAGAAGGGCAACTGAAAGTGAGCAAGCATGAGTCATGTTGAAAAGATCTATGCAAGGGAAAAAGTCACAATGGCCTTGAAGGCTTTGCTATCTTGTGGGGAGATCTTGACAATTGCCATGGTAACCCGTTATGATAAGCAAAAATATTATTTTACGTCCAGGTTTTGGAGCAGATTTTGAAACAGCGCAGCCTGCCAATTTTCAAGCTGAACACAGATCGCCAGTGTTTCTGTTAAAAATTTCAATCCTTGCTCCATCTGTATAAAATGAAAATCTTGCCTCTCTTGTGCAGCAGTCAACAACCTAAAACAGAAAACCATTACAATTTTTTTTTTTATTGCTGCGAGAATCCGAATAATCAATGCACTGGCCTGCTGCAGGACGCATGTTATACAAAACTATTTGGCAAGATGATTACATAAATGAATCCTAGAATCTCTACAACACGGGCTTGGCAGAGACCATCTCTGACAACCTAGTGACTGACAGTTGTCACCCTTTACTCTGGTGGCCTAGTAAAACACAAGCTCCTTAAAATAGACAGCTGCAGCTGTTCAGATCCTGCACTGGCTCAGGGGCACCGCTGACTGGGGAAACTGAATGGTCATGCTATGTTGCTAACAAACTGTGTGTATGTGTGTGTGCATCAGCAATGCCATGCGATGTTACACATGCCTATAGCCCTGTTGTCATATCATATGTAACACCCCCTATGAAAAAGATGCACATAAGCAAACCACATTCTTTTCTTGCAGAGTGACCCATAAGTGCTGATCACAGGGCGACCACGCTGTGTGAGCAGCCTCTGTGCATCTAACAGACACACACTCCATCTGAGGTTAGGGATTATCGTGACGCATCACAAGTGCAACCTTATACAAGCCCGGGGTTTAGCCCAATAAACACACTAACACGTTAAATTGGCTTAAAATGAATGTCAAGCATCATTAGCGGGCCTAATCCATCGCAGTTTCCTAATTTAAATCAGTCCGTGTGGCATGGCTCGCACATCAGCCGACATATGCGGCCTGCACCGTGTCAGTGTGAGACGACAATTAAAGAAGATAGAAGAAAAACATGCTGAGTCCTTCCACGACAGGACTCTTCCTGGACCCCCCCTCTCCCTCTCCCTCCCCTCCACATCACTTTTTTGTGGCCAGCCAGCTCAGCGCTATTTACGAGAAAGCCTTTGTTGCAGAAAACGGATTATCCAGTCACTAATGCCATGTCCCATTGCAACAAACCGAGCCAACAATGCGGACTGTATGACAAAAGTGTGGTGGCATGGCTAATAAAGAAATGCCGCTGATCGATACAAGTTGTCAACAAGGTTAATACGTCACATGTCTCCTTCTTGTTGCAGTCTCAGTGCAGTGACATTATAAACATCCTACAGACGAGCGATGAGCCCCGTGTGGTGGAGGTTTGATCCGACAGCACTGCGCGCCCAGTCCGTCTCGGCGAGGTAAACAAAACTTTGTCAGTAAGCTGTGGCCACAATAACATGCACTGTCGACCACAACAACAACGCCACACAGTCATCGACACGGCGGCTCCAGCCCTGTCTGCCCCGATACTTACTGTGTTTGTCATGAAAGCTGCTACTAACGGCAGCTCAGCCCGCAGGATCGCACACTCGCAGCTCTGTGCGGCCAGCAGCGGCAGCAGGCCCGCACAATACCGACCTGCGATGGTGACTGCATACATCCCCAAGGTTGACTCATGCTATGCTGCTGACCTCACTCACTGGTACTTTTTTTTTTTTCCTCACCCCCCCCACCCCCTACCACCAACACACCTCCCCGCTACAAAGTCAAGAGGAAAAGGGGGTCGACGTCGGTGCGTAAACAGATTCCTCCCCGGTTGGAAACTGAGCGCTAATCTGCACAAACGCGGGCGCAATGCCGCCGCTGTCTGTTGCACATTATTGCACTAGGATTGCACACAAAAAAAAAACTCACACTGGCAATGCGGCCTTTTGCTGTACAGCTACTCTCTCCGTGTCTCTGCTTGTCTTGTGATCCCCCTCCCTCCACCGCCACAAGCTCGCTGGCCACACCTACTTCCATGCCCATAAAAGGCCTTCCTCTGACACGGAAGGCGCTGTAATTTACGGAGCAAGATCCCTCTCAGTCCATGCGGGAAATTCCAACACACATGGGAGGACCGCGGGGCTTGGAGGGGAAGGGCGCACCCGGTTACACACACTCCGTTTACATTCACTTTCCTTTCAAAATCACCACTTCTTTTTTTCCTCGTCTGGTTACTTTAGAAATTCGTCTTGAATTGCACGTATGGTGTGTGCACATTACACATCAAACAGGGTGTTATTCATGGAAGCTGCAGAAAAAGGTCTCCAGGGTGTGGGAGGAAAAATGTGAAAATACATTTTTGTTTATATTAGGGCTTCTGGTGATGATATTTTTAGCATGAATTCACCATTTACAAATAAGTGTCTAAAACAGTGAAATACAACAACATATTCATTACACATCAACAGATCCTGATTTGATTTATAGTGTTTACTTTCTCGGTGTTACCAGCACCAAAGTATTCAGTTTATATTGAGACAGAGAACAGAGACAGAGAAGACCCTCACCCTTTGTGGAGAGGCAGTCAATTTGGTATTTTTACTTAATAAATGACAAACACATAGAATAAATTTGGGCTGCAACAAAGAATTATTTTCATTAATCTGCTAATCATTTTCTCCATGGATCACTGAATTTGTGAAAATCTGAGAAAATAGTGCAAAATGCCTGTCATAATTTCCCAGAGTGCACAGTGCCATCTCCAAATGTCTTGATTTGTTCAAATGATATTCTTGAATTTCAAAGATACTCAACTTAAATTGACAGAAAACAGTAAAATGAAGCAAATCCTAATATTGAAGCACAGACTATCTGTCATGTTTGCTTGAGAAAATGGTTTAAGTAACTATAAAGAAAAAGTATATTGTTATCCAGGCCCAGATGTTGCAAGGTGATCTATGGCCTACTCAATGATGTAATATCAAACAAATAAAGCAATAGCCAAGATAAAGAAGTGACCCTGGTCATCATGAGGCAACCAACCACCTGTATAAAGCAGTCCTGACACCATTATATGATTAGTTAATTCGTCAATCAATTGTAAATCAATCAATATTGATAATTTATTCTAGAGCTAAAACGATTTGTCAATTTCAGTGCAAAATGAATCAGCAATTAATGTACGTGTAGTAATTCCTGGCTATACTGCATAGGCATTTTTCACAGAATACATTTGGACACATCACAGTAGGAAAATCACTATAATAATATTAATGATGGCTGAATTCTATTTAGCTGCTTCACTTTTAGGGTCCTTCTAATGTGCATGTTGGTTTACTATCACACTGTTATGGCTTACTGGGGCTCTTGAATGGAACCGGCCCAGTATCATTAGTGACACCTGTGCCTTTCCTACAATGACAAGTCAAAATGTCTGCTGTGAAAAGGGCCTATTATAATAGGAAGTCAAACTGCTTTACTATTGGTAAATGATGACACACTATCATGTCACTGGACATGACCAAGCAGGCAGTCAGACTGTGCAGGGCTGTAGTCTCTCTCCCGGGCCCTCTCTCCTCTCTCTGGCCCTTAAAATAACGTGCAAAGCCTGAAAACATTCACAGATGCAGTCGACAAGAAGTCGAGTCAGACTGACATGGCTGCCTCTGATGACACTGTCACTGCACTGGGAATTGTGGTGTGAGTGTGTGTGAGAGTTTATAACAGCTGTTTTGTTGGGCTTTTGAAGAAGACAACAGAGGTGCTATGACAATTAGTCGATTTATAATTTTGTCTCTTGACAGATAATTAACAGGCAACTAATTAGATAATTAATTAATCATTAATGTAATTTTTCAAGCAAAAAATGCCAAACATTTTATGTTGTCAGCTTCCCAAATGTGAGGATTTGCTGCTTTTCTCTGTTTAAAATCTTTCAACATTGAATATTGTGGGGATTTCTGACTGGTTGTCAGATAAAACAAATTATTTCAATGCACCACCTGGGGTACTGGGAAGTAGTGACAGGCATTTTCTCTATTTTCTGACGCCTTATCATCTAAACCCTTAATTGAGAACTACAGTGGCAGATTAATTGATAATGAAAATAATCGATAATTGCAGCCCTAG